AGAAGAGAGAAAAAAAGAGAGAGAAAGAGGTGTGAAGAAACTTAAGAGTTGGAGTAAAGTTGAATAGTGATTGTGAAGTCATTTTATTATTTTTATTTATATTAATTATTAAATAAAAAAATTATTTTGAAAATATATTAAAAAATATATAATAAATAATTTTTTAAAAAAATTTTGAAGGTCACGGCCTCATAAATATACCACCCTCCATCTATGATTAAAAGAATTATATAATAAATAAATAATTTTAAAAATTTTAGAGACACCATGACCCTGGTTTCAATCTATACTCTATGAACTTCATGACCCTGGTTTCAATCTATTCTGTTTGAACTTCAGTTCTAACTACCATCCTCTCCAATTGTCTTCTGTGACAACTTAAGTGCAGTAGATACTTGTGCCAATCCAATCTTCACACCTGAAGCACTTAACACTTGACTACTTCTTTGTTAGGGAAAAAGTGAGTCGACGGCAACTTGAAGTTCAACATATCTCCACCTAGCAAATGCACTCACAAAACCATCGTCCAAGTCTAGATTCCACTATCCACTATCCAAGATTGGTGTGTCAAATGGATCACTAATCTTTCGGGGGGCATATTAAAGACAAAAGCAGCATCATCATCAAATAAACTTAATCAAGACGAAGAGCTGACCGAGTCAGCAAAACAAGAAGTAGATAATAAAGATCAGCCTTGCAGTAGATTAAGATTGACACTTAGAACATGACCAGGTGAAGATTGTAGGTTGCAACATGAATCTATAATTTCAATTTGTATTCATCTTGTAAACTTATCCTATCATTTAACAGGCTTGTACTCTTTTACAATAGATTCACATCAATAAGAAGCAACATGACATCCTTCTCCATTGAAACACTTCTATCTAATGAAATTCTTATTATCTAGTGAAATTCTCTTACATAAAAGTAAACTTTTAAGCGTCAACTCTAAGCATGCATGTGGCATGAGTGTTACTATAAATATCTATAAAAAAATTTTCAACTTTAGTCTAACCGGCTGGAAAGGAAAATTTTGGGTTTTGGTACAATGGGATATCTTTGCATTACAGCTATAGCAAAATTATTTATGTTCCCCTTTTCATTATATAATAAGACACATGTTTATTTTCTAAAAGAGAAAAGATATAATGATACCCTTTTTCTTTCTATTTCTTTAAGGGGTCACTGGGACATGCAGGGTAGGGCAAAGGATTAGTCATTTGATACAGTTCCAGCAAATAACTTGTTCAATTTCGTTATTTATTATCCCAAGTTAGTTACCAAAAAGTACTTAAAGAGTGTCTTTGGATTAGAGTTGGATCCTTCTAAGGGCCATGCCATCAATCTGAGCCCAAAATCTCGGCCTGCTTTGGATTTGGTTTAGGCTAAGACTTTTGATTACTGTTATGAACGGTCCACCAATTATTACTATAGAAAAATGTTTTTAAATATATAGTATATACATAAGAATATATAAATATCAATATAAATAAAATTTAAATTACTATAATCTGCATCTATCTGTGATATTTATATCTACAATATATATGATAGTCGAATATTAAAAAAATATATTTATTTAATATATTTATTGAATATATGAAAATTATCAAATTTATTTAATATATTTTTAAACTATCATTTCAAATATTTTTCATTATTAGTATTAATATTTATCTAATTTGTAAGTATATAAAAATTCTAATTTTATCTAATAAGTTTCGTTAAAAATATCTTTTTATTATAAATATTAATAAAAATTTATCCAATTTGTAAATAAGAATTCTATTTGTATAGAAAGATATTCATTAAGTCTTGAATAATTTATGAATTAATATTACAAAATTTTCAATTATTTATTATTGATACATTAATTATCATTATATATAATTGTCTTACAATTATAACTGCCTTTTATTTATGAATAATCAACTTTACATTTTAAAAACATTTATAGTACTTTTAATATAATTATAATTTAAAATAAATGTAAAAAAAAATAAGTATTCACTTACAAAACACTTGTCGATAAAAATTAGTATTAATAAAAGTTATGGCTCAAGGGACGGATTATGCTGGGCTTAATTAATAGTTAATTAATTAATGTCCATGCAGGCTTATTGGAATGAGGATGGTGTATATAGTGGAAGACGGTTTGAATGAGGGCTGAAAGACATGATAAGAACGTGGCATTGTTGCATTCTATTATGAAGTCGTATTAGGCACTCATGTACAATTGGCCACTGATCAACAAATAATTGAAGCTTGGTGGCAATGCCGAAGTCGGCCATGAAAATGGGGCTTGACCACCATGCCTTTGGACCCATCATGCTTTTCCAACAGGACCATCTCATTGATTGGCCTCTATATCTTATCCCATAATCTACTCAACAATCACGCAATGTTAAGACATTTCCATATTTAGAACTTCAAATTGATTGTTATTTTTTACATTTTTAATTTAAAATAGCCCTTATAATACAAGCATAGGCCCTTGTGCACATACATACACAATATGCACATAGACACATATTAAAATATACATACATGCGTACAAGAATATGCATCCTAAGTATTGATGCAAGTGGATAAGCCAGCGCAGCAATTCTTTTCAGTAGTGTGATTAAAAATAAAAATAAAAGACAAACCAACATAGATGCAGGTACTCATGCAGGAAAATCATACAGTAACTTAGTTGTCTTCTCCATAAATTCACTATTATACATGTTGCATCGAGGGAAGGCTTCAGAAGGCAAACAGATAAGCAGGCATGTTCTGTTCACTGAGTCGAGCTTCATGTGATTCTATACAATTTTTGATTGTTTTAGCTAGCAATGAAAAGCACAGGGCACAGTGACCAACAGGGAAGAAAAGTAAAAGGAAACTGCTGTTCATATGCAGAACTGATTCTATTCAGAGAGAAATACTGAAGAGTTCAAAAACAGGATCAGCTTGTAAACGTCAGAACGTAAGGGTTTACCTTTGGAGTTAGTTTTATTTATACACCATGACATTATTTGTCTTTGTGCTTTCAGATTCAGACAATTTAGTCCCAGCAGCAATGCTCCTTGGGGCTCACACAAAATTCCGTGCTTCTATGATGGAAACAAAACATTCAGTGAGAATAGCAAGACATCTGAGTGAACAATTTATAGTGATGTCCTGTTAGCACCAGTCACCAGAAATTTCAGTGAACAAATTAAAGCAAGCTGGTCAAGTTCGCCACAAAGTATCCTTGGTTGGCTGCGGGATTCCGGCCTGTTACCTTTTTGAAAGTTGTACCTAGAGTCAACCCATATATGATACTCCTTTATAATGTCTCCCGAAGAAGGTAACCAGTGGTCTTTAATGCACCATTCTCAATATTTCCTATGCCTAGGCCACTATCAGTACATCTCAAGTAGTCAAGTTTTTGAAAAAGAGATACTACAAATTTCATATCATCACCTTTTAGCAGGCTACCTATTCTATATGAACCTTCCCACTTAGGCCATGTCTACCGCACCAGACCACAGCCATGGATCCCTGTCAGATGCATACACATTCTATTTCATGTAAGCATTCAACGTTAGCTTCACATGAACATTTGGATTTAAGAGTTCCAACAAATCATTTGAACCATTTCTTCCTGTTCTCTAGGAAAAATCCACCATCAATAAAATTGAACACAAATGTGCTACTCCACAAAGCAAACTAAACAACGAACAGCAAAGCAGGAAAATTTCCTTTTTCTTTCAGGAAGAAGCGAACTGCTGTCTTTGAATAATTAGTCATGCAACACAAAACAACTTTAATTGTTGCTGACACATTGCAATTATCTCACAAGTTGAATCTCACACACTTGCCCCAGTCCCCAGACAAGGAAACAGAATTATTAAACAGGTTGGTCGGTCTAGTTATGGCAGGTGGCTTTAGTTAATTAAGCATTGAGGATCTATCCACTGACCAGCCCATCTGAGACCTTGACAGCACCCAACACAAAGCCAAACTGATTCAGAACAAAAAAGCAGGGTTTTATTCATGGCAACAAATATTTTTTTATGTAGATTTAACATTTATCACAAATACATTTTATGTTCTTCAATACAGGTAATAGTAAAGCTATAGGTATTATTCAGGATGTTTGATCAAAGATCAAACATTTCCATAAGATTTCAGTCATAATCCATAAAGCTGACTTTCCCTTTCTGCCATCAGCTGAAGCAAAGTAAACCAAGCAAATATGCAAAATGGATGAAAAACCAAAATGATGTAATGCAGACTGGAGATGAGTGAATAAGCAGATATATTTACTACATGCATGCTATGCAGTTTCCACTAAGGATGACTATGGCCTGATTTATATGTAAGAGATATTTTCCATCAGTATGTCAAACTAATGAGATTAATCATTACAACTATGGACAACAACCAATAGATAGCTTGCACTGAAAGGGCTTAGAAGAAGAGAAAAAAGAAAATGCACAGCACCCTGTTAATAAACTGATATTCTTTACCAAAACGCAGAAAAGAATCTTACAATATATGTAAAATAAAAACCGTTTACTGTTAAGAAACAAACCTTCAGCAGCCATTTCAACCATTTTTGCATAAGTAACTCACAAAATCTGGCATTCCTTTTAGAAATGCCACCTGCTAAAGCTTTAGTTCATCATCATACACATTCACATTTAGTCCACCTGTTTCCAGCTTCAAGACTTCATTTTCTATCGCTGACACTAGAACTGCATCAAGGCCTTCTCCTTGTATGCAAAAGAAAAAAAGAGAAACGAAATATCCTGCAGCAAACTCTGCTTCCTAGAATTAAAATAATTAGCAACATCTTCAAACCTCTGTTACATCATATATATCTAGGTCTCATGAAAGAAATTCAGAATATAGATATAAGAATGATGGTTAGTTATGCAGAGCCGACCAAAAATGAACTTAATAAACCTAATAATAAGATAAAATTCAAGTGTTAACAAGATCTCTCATGGTAAAATGCTGCAAACAAAAGATTAGGAAAATGATTTTTTTAATTTGTGGTAAAACCATGGAGTATTACAACCACGCACTGCAAACTTATCCAAAAAGCCCCCAACCAAAATTATCCATTACTGAATGGAATTCAGAAACTACAAAAAGAAAAAAAAAGAAAAGAAAGAAATATCTGAATCCATACATAAGCAGACAAGCATTACTTTCAGGATGATTTATCAGGTATGAAAAAAAAGATAAAGTCCATGCTGATGGTTATCTGGAACCTCACTTGCACTCAACAACAGCTTCAGCAGCCCGTCGAGGCTTGTTTTTACGCCTGCTACCATTTTGTCGATATCCAACAGATTTAGTTGAATCATCAGTGTTTACCTTTGTTGTAATACCATTTTCTTTCTTGACTGAATCTATGCTTTCTTTTGCCTGCATTGACCTTTTCCTCTTCCTTCCATTCTCTGTGGCAACCTGATTTTTCATATCCTTAATAGGAATAGAACCTTTAACATCTTCACCATCTTCTTCTGTTTTCTCCACTTCATCTTCCTCAATATCATCCTTCAATTGCTTTTGTGGCCTTCCTCTTCTCCTATATGCTGGAATTTTTTCATCTTCACCACTTCCGGGATCTTCACGAGAAGAAACAACAGTCTGCTTCTTTGCTTTTCCTCTACCTCTTCTCATGGTACAAGAACCACTTTCAAAACAATTTCAAACAACTGAAGAAGGTTTCTGCAAAGACAAAAAGATAGATTCAGTCCAAAAAATCAACATTATATAACAAATGAATTATGACAATAAGATGAATAGCCGATATTAGTAAGTGAGAAAAGAAAAAGAAATGGCACACTTCATTTTCCAAAAACCAATTAAAGATTAAGAGAAATACAAATCATGCAAACCGTAAAATTGAGTATACCATCAGATGACATGCATAAATCAAATAGAAAGGCAGAGCCTGGAAACAAGAGGCAGGATAAAATAAATGATAACCTTCATGCAATCATTCCATCATTACAATAAAAATATCCACCCCTTCTTACCTTAGTTTTGTTGCAAACAATCTAACAACAGTAATTGCAAGTTTATATATTTTCATCCAACTGCAGGTTTTGCTCTTTTTTAATTACTAAGTAATGCATTTTCATTTTTTAATTCCTCTTCTTTTCCTACATTTTCTGGGAATATATCAGAGCATAAAAAACTCAATCAGGTAGTTCATGAAGACATAAATCATTAAATAGATATAGAACAAAACAATTAACAAGATTCAAGCCAGATCAACCTATTCTCAAACTGTATTTAACCTGACAAATGCACAAGAACAAACTCCAAATCCAAAAAACCATAAACCAAACAACAACAAATCCATGCAATCTTCAACTTTGAGTAACCAACTAAGAATAGAGGAAATCCAAATCATTACAAAAGCCATAACCCCAAAATGTTCATGTTATTTACCTTCCAATATAAAACTCACATCATCTATGGTATATTAACCTAAGGCCAGGAGTAAACCAAAAACTTTTCATATTCCGAAGTCCTAAGAGATATGAATCTATGATCCAAAATAGCAATATATATTCTTCATTTCCTATAATTACAGCACCAAACAAAGCATAAACTTCTCAAAAACCAATACAATATAAAGAAATATATACATACATAACTCTTTATCTTCTTTTCTATAGAGAACTTTATTATCTATAAAGAAAAATCAAAAAAATATGTGAAGCTGACCTTAAAACATTCATCAATATTCTGAAGCTTTGACACAAATCCCATTTTTCAGAATCTCATTATACCAATGAAGAAAGCTACCTAAAACCCAAAGAATAAAGCTGGGTTTTGTTTTTGTTTCTTTCAATGGTTTTTCAAGAGTGAAGCTAACAAAGAACAAGGAAAGTTTTTTTTTTTTTTTTGAAAACTATGATCTGAATGAGAAACAAAGAAAGCCCAGATCAGCTAATATGGTCTAAGTTAAAAGGAAACATCAAACAAAAGCATAATGAGATTTTACTGAGCTAAGCCAATGAGCAGGGAGGCAGAGCTGAGAAAAGAGAAGAGAATAGAATAGGAAGGGAGAGGTTAAGAAGCAATGGCAAGAGAAAGTGTGAAAAGGATTTTCCTTCTCTTTTTCTCTTTGGTGTGTTTTAGAAGAGTAGAACAAAATATTTTGTAGGGTAAAAAACTTAAGTAGCAAAAACTAAGAGAGTGTGCTCACTGGTCAAGAACAATGTGTGAACCATTCAGATCATCATCGCAAGTTTGACTATGTGTTTGAGTGGCTTTATGGACACGTGGACGGTGATTACCCCATAACATAAGAACAAGCCTTAGGACACAGGATTTTTCCATAGTTGGATACAGATTCTGTGAGCTGAGACTTGATTTCAATCATACGCGCACGCAACAGCGTGGCGGTTCCAAATGGTAAAACTTAAAGGCGCGTGGGAATGACCCTCTTTTACATACAGTGTGTTTAGGTCAGATCCCAGAGCCCTTTATTTTTTTAATATATATATTTTTTTGGTTTGAAAATTGGCTCCTCATTTATTCAGTTCAGCTTATTCAAGTGAAAGGGTAGGCAAGTATCCAGTGACATGACCTGAAATCTCCATCTTTAGCCCTAATTTTGGGATTGTTTTGAGGGTATAATCGTCATTGGGTGATCTTCAAAACTCCAAAAAACTTAAAAAAAATATTAATGGAGAGGATATATGAGAAATGTCTGTATCTGATGAACTGGATCAGCCTTTGCGGTTGAAGGGTGTTTTTCACACTTGATTACAAGATAAAGAGGGTTTTAAATAAATAATAAATATAGCATCATTATCAAAGCCGAAGGGGGGATAATTTGGGGTTAGAGATTTCATGTTTTGTTTCCAAGTTCCAACATTGTGCAGTGTTCCTCATTGAGATGATGGAACTTTGTTCTTCGGAATTGTTGGGGGACTTGGGGTTGATGAAATATTACCAGTAATTAACATGATAATATTAACAGAGTTGGTTGTTTAATCAACTCACCTTGAAATTTATACCAAATTCAGCCTCACCATATCAAAAGTAGTTGATGTAGTCTTTTGTGTGGTTGTGAAATCTGAAAAATCTAGTCTTCAAGATAACAAAAAGAGGCCACTCCCCCAACTCCCAACAACAATCAACCAATTCCAATTCTATTGGCTCATAGGTAATCTTCTAAAAAGAGATAACAAAAATATAATAAATTTTGAATTGTTTGATTAGATGCGGTGAATGATGGGTTCTTTTTTTTTATTTTTCAAATTATTTCGAATTTTAAGAGTTTTGAACTTGAATATTTTTGGGGTTTAAATCGTTTTTTTGAATCTGAGTACCTAATGTCGATTTCTTTAAGAGATTTAAATTTTGAAATAAATTAGGGTTAGTTTTCTTTACGATGTTACAAAATTTTGTTCTATTTTATTCCATTAATTGTTTAGTTATTTATTAAAATTATTTACTAGATTGTATTCTCCATCATTATCTTGAGTTAAGCATCTTTATTTTTCTTCTATAATAGTTAATCTTCATCTTCATTAATCCATTTACCATTTCAGTTGCTTTCATTTTTGTTTCTTTATAAATTAAGTTTAAAGAAACTTTTGATAAATTCTAGATTCTATAGTTTTGAATTGTATTCTTCATTTTGATATTTTTTTTTTGGCTTTTTATATAGAACCCATGAAGCTTTCGTGTAAGTTTTTTAGTTTTCTTTCTTTTGTCTTTATTTTATTTAAGTGTTGGGTTATATTTTTCTGCTATCAACTGCACACTACTTGCTCCTTTCTTGATGTTGTATCGATTATTTATATATTACATGTTACTTATTTCATCTCATATTCATCATACAAGCTTTATTGATGATAAATTAGTATGATTTCATTTTATATTTTTTTGATTTGGAGGTTTGCTTAAATTTTTTTGCAGTCCTTTTATAAGGTTTAACTAAGTTAATATTTCAATATTTATGTGAATTATATATGATTCCATTATGATAGAGAGGCCATATTAGCTTCCTGGAAAGTGCTTACTAAAAGGACATCTTTTAAATCATTTTCATAGATGATATGAAGAAGTATTGAGTATTGGGAGAGAGAGAGAGAGAGTTGAAGAGCCCTCAATTTTGTTTCCAGTTTACTAAAATGTTTACATGATTGGACAAGAATTGAATATGTTTTAGCTGATTTTGCAGAACTTGCTGTACAGATTTAGCATTTATAGTGCATGCTTTTAGTTGGAAACAAAGTAACTGTGTAAAATATTTTAAATTGAATATGGAGTGTTGACGGCAAAATTTTACTGCCATTACTACCATTCCCCCAAAAGAAAGCAAAAGAGGAAAAGAAACAGCAGCCCAGTGCAGGCAGAAAGGTTATTTCACGCGTTTGCTTCAACAGTTTCATTAATGTTACTCTGCAACATACTTTGAAAGAGAAATGGTTCATACGTAGCATATCCACACATGCTGGAACGCTTGTTTCAGTTAACCATCTGCTCTGCAAAGCTCACTATGCTACAGATAATTCCCTAGCCTCTCTTACCTTTGCTGATGTCAATACCTAAAAAGAGGTTCCAACTAAGATGTTAGTCACTTTGCATTGTTTTGAAAGAAGTTTATGGCCAACATTCCTAGCTTGTCTTTCCAACATTTCACTGATAATCGATGATGTTTTGATTGAAATCAAAGTTCCTTCAGTCTCTAAGGTCAATAAACTGCTTAAACTTGATGATAACTATGTATATTATCTAAACTCCCTGGAAGGCATCCATGGAGTAATATAATATGCATTCCACTGGTTTTCATCAAGGCAGAACTCCAATGTATATCTGTAGAACCAGAACCTCTTCATTAAGACCTTTAACACAAAATCCACATAATTAGTGAGCTTTACTTAATAATTTTGCTTTTCCTATTCATTTTAGTATATTTGGTTTTAGTAAATATCCTTTCATTTTTAATATATTCTACATCCTTTGCTACATGCTTACCTACCTTCTGGTACAGGTAACATAGTTACCTCTTCTCTTATATGCCTCTTTAGGCTTTATCATTTTCTTGGATACTTCAGTTCCTTTCAGCATCAAATTGTCAAATGTTAATAACAATACAACAAGTGAAGTGAAATGAAGATTGATATGGTTATACATAGATACGATCATTAGTTTTACATATGATCAATTATAATTTATATAATCTAAAATGAGGAATCCAGACTAGGATAGAAAATCATTCTCGTTCTTCTTCTAATTTGTGAGTAAGCAATCTATGATAAACCTCTCCTCTTGTTCTATGCCTAGAGGTAAACGTCAAGACCTTCAACTATATGTGAGATAATGGATCACTGCCAACTATATAGCATAAACAAATTACTGTGTTAATGTGGAGAAGTTTCACAAGGGTTACAGAGATGACTAAACAAATTGTTTAACTCATTTTACAGAATAAAAAGAAAAAATTAGCTGTCTAGGGTGGAGAAACTGCCATTATCAACAGGGTGTGGTAGAAATTTCATCTCAAAAACTTTAGTGTACTTATGCCAACCAGCTATTGAAGAAATAAAAAGTTACAGCAGGAAATAGTCACAGTAGTATCATGATGGCCTCACTTTGAAGTCAATGGTTATAAACACTGCACATGGTTGTCTAGCTGTTGAACCAACAAAAGGATAAAGTAAGGACAGAATCTAAAAATTTATTACCTGATGCAAATCAATTTTGCAAAATAGGTTAATGGAAGTTGAAGAAAACTGGCTTCACTGTACTATGTGTAAGCTAGGCAAAGTTTTTGCATTTTAGAAGAAACAGAATGAAGTATCCTCAGACAATTGTGGTGGCAAGTTGCAAGGCATAACCTAGAAAAGTACAATAAATAGGCAAATGATATCATTTATTCAGGCAAAAATTTACCTTTTAAATCCTGCCAAACTTGAGGGCCACTAGGATGATGATTTACATATTGCCTCAGAAATAGTTTGTCCGAACATGCAACTAGAGTACTTAAGGCCAGGTCAGGCTCTGCTTTTCCCTGATCTCTGAGCCAGCTATACATTGCCAATCTAAGTCTGACCCTCTGTGTTGTATAGGAAAGATAAGAGGGGAACACCACTAAAGAGGATAAAGGGTAACCCAACTCATTCACTAGAATATCGATCTTTTTCTGGATGATATCTTTTGATTGATTTAGGATTTGTGGGGACACTCTGACCATTTCAGAAACATCTTTCTTATCTAAACCAGTATTCACAATAGAATCAAATCTCTCCTGAAGCTCCCCTCCCCTGCCTCTGAACGCCTTGAGTGCTTTCTTCATCATGTTAGGGTTTTCTCCATAACCCAAGTCTAACAAGAACTTCATCCTTAACCTTTGCGACTTTAAGTCCTCTCCTGAGTCTGGTAATCGCACAACTCTTTTTCCCATGACCCATTTACTCAATTCTTGGGGATTCTCCTGGATGTATTTACAAAGTCGCCTTTTTCCGACATTCAAGTTACCAAGTAAACTGTTAGTTTTCTTCAACATGATTGAACCAAGTAATAAGGGGTAAGAACACACAATTTTCCCGATCTCATTCACCTCCATCTCAATCTCATGAAGAAATAGAAAACATTTGATAAAATTTGAAACAAATTGCCCAACTTGGATTTCTGGAAACTGCAGAAACGTAGAAGATATCTGATCCAGTGGAGATCCAAATTTCAACAGGAATGCAATTAGTGAAAGCATCCTATACCCCGAACCCTCAAACAGAAGCCCTGGATGCTGGCTGATTAACCCATGTAACTCACTTCTGCAACCCATCTCACTAAAGAAGTTCAGAACACGAAGTATCATGCTCCAATTATAAGAATCATGCTCTGACAAATGCTCCTCAATCCAAGCATAATCAAATCCCACACTCCTCAAAATCTCTAATACCTTAATAAATTTCATATCTACATCACCAATCAAAAGATGAGGACTACAAACAATAACCTTTGCCATAAAAGACTGACTAAGCCCCAGTTCTTGATAAGCTTGAAGCTTTAATGGCAAAATTTCAAATTCATGTTGAAACACTTGAATTGCTTCCATATATATCTTACCAATCTTATTTCGATCAATCCCATAGTTGCACAAGACCCTATAATTCTCTAGCAACAAGCAATCATCACTCAAGAACATCAAATCCCTAGGAAGTAAAGGAGTATACTCACAAGGTTTCAATCCCAAACTCTCAAAGAAAGGTTCAAATTCATTAATGGGATGGTAACGCAGAAATCGAGTCATAGAACTTCCAACATCCTTTTCACTTTCAACCTTCTTCAAAAGCTTCTGCAAAAAATGAGGTGAGTTTTTGCTCATATTCTCTGCATCCGTAAAATGAATACTTCTAGTAGAATGCAAATATTCCAATAATGCAGCTTGAGCCTCTTTTAGAGTGGCACGAGGGATTCGCACAACATTTTCGCCATCAGAAAACATGGTTTTATCAGAATTTTCAGTTACAACTGATCTTTTTGTCCTATAAAGTCTAGGGTTTTGCCTTTGTGCAATGTGAAATGAACCCGTTTGGCAAAATTGGGGTTTTAGTTGGTTCTCAATAAAATAAGAAGAGACCCATTTGAGAATAGATGGTTTCTTAAACTTCCGCAAATGGGTCATGATTAGTTTGATCGTATATGAAGCCGAGTCAATAATAGCTAGAGAGACCACAGAAAAGATAAACTTCTGTAAAGCTGAAAAGGTTCAAGTTTTGGTGTTTTACCTGTGATTTGGGCTTCTTTGGTTTTCTTGTCTACTTGAGAAGTTTGGGGAGTACTGTTTGATAGTTCGTTGTTTGTTTATACTTCTTCAACTGATACAATGCCAGCCATGATGTAGTTTCACTGAGCCTCACTAAATTTCTGACTCCCCGGGAGGGTTTTAGGACGACGCAGGTTTATAGAAGGGTAGGATGGTCATAACCTTCTCTTTTCAAAGTTCCTATCTTTCATCTCTCGACTTTTCATTTCCAATATTATAGCATAATAAATGACAATTGTCGTAGTTATTATTATTCTATTATTAAATTTGGATTTACAGAGAATAATTTTGAATCTTTTTCAAATATAAAAACTATATATCAATTCATTAATTAAATATTTGAATACTATTATTATTTTATTATTATAATTACTTTTATAATTTTGTATTTTTTTAAAAAAATTAATCGGTTTAAACTTCACATATTAATTGCCGTTTCTCTTTAAATCAAAATTCAACTATTTCTACTCCGTGCCTTTATATTAATGTATTGTCGAGGAATGGAAAAAAAAAAAAAAACCAAAAGGGGAAAATGGAGAAAATGCTCAAAAAAAAAAAAGAAGCCTGATTGGATTTTTAATACAAGATTTCTCATATTTTGCAAATTATATACTAATTCAACAACTCTTTAAATTTAACTCACGTTACTGATCCAAACTTAAAATTCAAATTATTAATATATATATATATATATATATATATATATATACACATCTTGACAATTACAATTCAAACTTCATATATAATATGAGATTGAAAAACTCTTGCAAGTAGGGGAAAAAAAACACAGCAATACACATAAACACATAGTAATACACATAAACGTGATAAGAAATTCGAAAGGATCCTAATATCCTTGGACAAATAAATTAAGAACTTTATTACGTATCACTTTCAATTCGAATATAGAAAATAAATAATATTAATTAGACAAATTGTATTACAATTAACTAAAACTACAAGAAAGCTAGGAAATACAGGAAGAGGAAAAACGGAAGACTACCATTAAGCTCTCCTATATCAGAACTTGCCATCTCATCTTGTTCAGACGAGCAACTCCTGGTCTGGCCTAGTTGGTTTAAGATATAGTTGTACCATGGCATTTAACTGCAAGGCCAAACGCAACGGTGAATTTTTTATATGTATAAAACTAAATAGTCGCATTAATAGCACAAGCATAAATGGAGATTCGACTATCACCATGAATTGCCTGAGACTCTGTTATTGTTTGCCAATATAATATGGGTACCCACCCATTCCCATGGGCGTAGTTGGTGGCATTCCTTGCGGGTCCTTCTTTGCAACAAGGGGTGTGTATGGAATCAGCGGTTGGGTTGGGTATGGTGCAGGTGCCGCTGGAGGACTAGGGTATGAAGAAGCTGGATACGATGCTATGGTTTGAGGATACGCGTAGCCAGCAGGGGCAGCGGTGGGATGTGCTTTCCCAGGCTGTGGGTAGCCAGGTGCCATAGGCAGGGCAACAGGAACAACAGCTGCTGCAGGTAACTGTGTTTGTACAGGTTTGCCCTTGTGGGTATCAGCAAGCTTCACAATGATAGTTCTCCCCTGCAAGAAAACACAAACTGTCAAGCAATTACTTTATAGATCTCCAAGACAGCAATAGTCATATTAAATTATTTTATTATTTTTGGCAGAATCAGTCCACGCTATGTCAACCTCCATGTGTAAACTTATAATGTCATCCTTTTTGCATTCTATCACTTACATCATAGTGTTTACAGGATTTAGACAAAATAATTGGATTGCTAACTTCATCTTTGCTTAATAAGCCATCTGTAATTAGCAGATTTTGTCAAAATAAAAAAAAAGAATTGGTTTTGTAAGACAAGGACCTTTCTTCTCCAAAGGTCAGACATTAAGCATGCTATACTGCACATGTAGTGGCATTGTCCACTTACCCCAAGGATCTTTTGTGGATCATCTATGGCCTTCTTTGCAGCTTCCACTGTCTTGTATGTGACAAAACCAAACCCACTGCACGTGAAAGGAAAATAATAACAATTCTTCACGTGTGAAGTATATTAAAAAATAAATGAATTAATATAACTACAAAGATAGAGAAGGTATGCACCGTGATTCATTTGTATCTTTGTCATATGCGACTGACCCTTCCTCAATCTCACCATGCCTTCCAAAAAAATTTAGAAGTATCTCACTCGTGACATCTGGTGATAGGCCCCCAACGTAGAGCTTCCTTTGAGCTAGATCAGGTGTGGTACTTGCCCCACTCAACCCCTCACAGGCTAGATTACATACAGCCATCCGGCCCTGTGTTCAAACCATTCAAGAAAATAAAGAATTAACAAAAAAAATAGTAAATTAACAATCATGTGCATATCAAAGGACAAATCGCATGCTAAGGAAGAGTATATTCTTAATTATATATGCTACGAGCGTACACTGGAGTTGCATGTGTGCATGACATAAAATATACTTTCCATGTTCACTAGAGAGAATACCAAGAGACAGAGACAGAGAGAATTATACTGTTGATAATAATAATAATAATAATATCTCATATATGATCATTTGAATTATCTTACAACCTTGTTACCAGGGGATACTACTAAAGCAGCACCCCAGAAATGTAATCAAAGTTGCATGATAACGATCAACAAAGATCTCCATGTCAAGACAAGATTACAAAGTTAAATTCCCATACATGCTGCCTTTACTCCATTCTTCATCAAAGCCTGTGCTTCTAAACTATTACTGCAGGTGTTCCACCTCTCGAAGTTATGTTCTGTTATTGATGCAGAAAGAGTTTCTTGTCTTTCTCTTCCCTCTCAATATTTCGCTTGACAATAGACTAATATATAACTCCAGATGGCAGGAACATAATGGCAACAAATATCTTTCCTACTCCACAGAAAATATGGATTTACGCTAAACTATAGTATTACATACTGATAGCAGCCAAAATGATGCTATTTTATGCTCAGGCATTCAGGGAATTGAAATCCATATCACATTCACTACATGTCCTAGCAGTAAACTTTTATCAGATTCATGTAAATAGAATAGTTAGATCAAATTTGTTCTATTAGTGTGGATTCCATTCAAAAACGTGTTCACATTGTCCTTCATGTTTATTGAATGAATGAGTGTATGGAGAGAGAGAAAGAGAGAGACTGGTGAGTAGCAAATCCCAAAAGGAGAAACGGATCGAGATTCCATGCAAGTCACATTCTTGAAGAATAAAAAGAAAAAAGATGAGATGGAATGCATGTTCTTACAAGAAGAGCCCAACATGCAAAGACTGAAAAATGGCTATTGCTTACATCAATAAGCTTGCTGGGCGCACTAAGCGCACTCTGTGCTGACTCCATGTGTTTGTAAGTAATGAAACCATAGCCACGAGATTTTCCTGAGGTTTTGTCATAGATTACAGCCCCTTCCTCTATTTCTCCATGCATTCGAAAGGCCTAGACCAAAAATATTGGCTCTATACATTCAGTTAAAATGGTTCTGAGTTCAAGTTTTCTAGAAGTTCAAACTAAAATAAATAATAAAGAGGAAGATATAGAATTATGGGAAAAGTACACCAGAACTCTATATCATGTGGGACAATCACCCCAATATCACAGAAAACACAAACAGCAATCAGCAATCAGCAATCAGCTATGCACTCACAGCACACAAGGTTTCTGAAGTGGTATTCCAGGCTAAGCCACGAACAAAAAGCTTTCGGTGTACAGGATCTGAACTGGCAATACTTTTAATTTCTTCAGCAATTGAAGGATATTGGGACCCTCTTTATGCGTCAACATGCAAATAAACACACGTTCACAGAGTCAATCACACAGCATACAATTTCAAGCAAAAGTCATATAGCACGCATTCACTTTACACAACCAATGCACTTTCGCACACAAGATGAACCACGTAGAGAGGAGATTCTAAGCCACAATAGCCTTTCATTTTCAGATACTGACACTTTCATTTCATATGTTGAAAACTATGCTTTAAGGACGTTACTCAAATCGTCAAAGATTTAACCATTTCATTGGTGAATATTTGTTTTATTGGCATAAAAGCTAGAAGACTACAATGTAATAGAGTTAGAAAATATTTCTTGACATGAATACTGAAAGCGAATTAACACTTGCATTCTGATATATGCATTAAACAATGCATCTTCATGGTTTTCGAGCTCTCCAGAGTGAACTAATGAACTTACTAATAAACTACTCCTTTTAATAGCATAAAATAGCACAGGTGACACAATTTGTGGATATGTATAGTAGGTTTCTCTCTATATATTTCTCCTCTTTAGAACTTCCAAAAACATGAACGATAGGCAACCTAAAAATTTGGTCTAACATCTACTCCAATTTTAGAGGTAAAAGAATATAAATCAAGAACCCTTCTCAATGCCAGAAAGTTCTTAGTAAAAGGCGATATTGACTTACTAAAGGCAATCTAATAGGAACCAAACCAAGGGAACAAAAAACAATAGTCTTGATATCAAAAGCAAATACGGAGATATCCTAAAATTAAGTCAAACTCAAGCCAGGGAAAATTGTCAATTATGGGAAAATGCATAAGCAGATGTCAAAAGCATGTTCAGAAAATGTTCTGAATATATAGAAAAAGGCCTATGCTTCTGCAAAAACGAAAGTGAACTTTTCAAGAGACCCACAAGGCCAAGCTCATTATATCAGTAATCTAAATCACTACAACCAACAGTCTTTTATTTGTAAAAAGCAAGTAGCTCAAGCTGAACAACTGAAATATTTGAACATAAAGGAAAGAACTTCCTCGAGATTCGACAAGGCTTTGAAAAAAGCATAGACAAAAAAGTATCCTTTCACTACAATTGAAATGATTTTATAACTGATTATTGCATATTTTTACAAAATCGCTATCCGTTAATTATTTTAAAAAATAATAACAAAATAGTAACAGCCTCATCAAAATCCAGAAATGGTCAGCTAGCTATGCAGTATTTTTCTCCATATTTTCAAAGCAAAAGAAAAATTCAAAATTTCCTTCTGCAGCTGTTTTAGCGTCACTTGAGGACTCTTATAATTTTAAAACAAACTTAAAAAACCATTAAATTACAACTAATTCACCAAAACCAAAACCTTAAACTGACCAAACCAGCTCTCAAAAAACCCATGATAAAGAATACCCTTAAAGAACAGAAAAAAGAGAACAAAACAAAACCCAGAAATCATCATTCATTATTAGTCAAGTTTACTTGGGTTTTCTCGTGAGAAGATAAAACAGATTGAGGGTAATAAGAAAAAGGAAAATACAGTCTAGAGAGAAGATCGACGAGCTGAGATTTAGCGAGAGGGTCAAGCAAACAACGTAGCTCTTCTTGAGTCGATAACTCTCCGTTGTTTCCCATCTCCTCCATCTTTCTCTTCTTCATATCCTCCATTTTATTTTGCTTCTTTTTTTGGCTTTGCTTCTCACTGCAAAAATGTTTTCTTCGATTCTCCTTTCTTTTAGCCCTCTACGAGGTTTAGGTTTTAAGGATCATTTATGTTATGTTTTGGGGAATATTACATATGAAACCTTGTAGTTTAATTTTTATTGCAGTATTCACCTTATAATTTTTAATTATTGCAATTAAAGCCCCAAGTGCTACACTAAAAACCTTTTCCTTTACTTTAGGTCTATTTGACACACAGAATGCTGGGAAAGATACCGCATCAAGTTAATAACAATTCTATTATATTAAATATTTAAATATTCATTTGATATTATCTAAATAATACACTCCCAAATTAAAATTTAATTGAAGATTTTTTTTAAAAAAAATCAAACTCTGTTTTTTTCCATGAAAAAGTTATTTTTTCACAAGTCATAAATGTTCAGATTCAATTTAAAATTGATTAATCATACTTTATTAAGCATTTAATTTAAAATTGGTTTTATATTTGTATGAGTAATTTTTAATAGGTATAAGCATCCAAAGATACTTGGTAAATATTAGATTAATTATATTTAATTTGGAATAATATGCTCTTTCCTATCTAAAGACTACAGTCATTCAAAATTAGAGTAATGAAAATCAAAGATATATAAGAGTTTTTCTAGATTTTATTTATCCTAAAACAATCTCATGGTTAATATTTTCAATTCCTCTGGAACAAAAGTATCCACTCGAAACTTGAAGATTTACATTATAGTTGATAGGGTTATGTAGTGGGATTTGATATCCAAGTTAGGCCTTATTTGTTTTCTTTAGCTGCTCCAGCATCATTTGAATTTGCTTTCCTTGTTCCTGTATTGCTTGCTGTAGATTTTGCTGAATCTGCCCACAAATAATTAACAAATATGATAAGAAAATCATTCTAGCAATGAAATCAAATGATCAAATTCCCATGTTTTTGCAGTAAATAAATCAAGGCAAAATGCTTAAAGGTGCAATTTGGAATGTTTTAAAAAACTGGAAACCAACTTAAGCCCAATATTCAGTTAATGTTTGTATAGGAATGACAAAAAAATTCCTTTTTAGTTCCAAGTTTGATTTCTTTTAGAATACTCGATACTGGTACAAATATAGTCCAAATTAAAATCAGGAACGAATACTATTAAGTATACATTCACATATGTGATATAGTAATTCCATGAAAAAGCTTTCAGCCACCCAAATCTAGTCATAGCTTTAGGCTAAGAATTAAAAACAAGGTGATACCTCTAATTGTTCGCAAAGATGTCTTTGAACTTCGAGCTGCATTTGTAGTATATCTGTTGCTTGCATGCCACTACACAGTATGGAATTTAGAGGGTTAGAAGGTGTTCCCATACTGTATTGCTTGAAATTTTATATACTAAGAGCAAAAAATGAAAAGTTAAGGTTTTAAAACTGTATTATGTATACATTAAGCTCACCTTTTCAAATAGAGCACAGGTAAGTCATCATCATCAACTCCTTGGTCAGGTTTAGCTGTGACCAAAAATGAAGATAAATGATTTTAGGACTTATCATTCATCTATTAATACACAGACAATTTGACAAGTTTAAAAGATATGACAAAACAATTACTAACTAAAACAATGTGTAAACCTTTAGAATTTAGATGAAATAACATTCTACCTAGTATTTATGATTTATGAACAGGGAATCGCATTGATCAACCCCAGTAAAAGCATCAAACATTAATCTTCAGCTTATCTTTGGCCAAAAAGAAAAAACAACAAAGAAAAGAAAGATTCTTCAGCTTATCAGAGTTTACCTTGCGTGGATCCCGTAATGTATTTTGCATATCGGTATTTCTGCATAGCAAATAATCGCTTAAAGTAGAGGGCGGAAAGAAAAATACTACTACTGTTTTCTATATGCAAATATGTAACTGGCTTAGGTTTGGCCTAACGATTATAACCCTGCTTAAAATGATTGAGGTTCAGAGTTCAAATCTCCACTCCAACCTTGTAATTTCCCATACGAACACCTAAAAAACCAGTATATAGTATAAAACGTTTTTACCTGCAAATGACTTTTGACATGAAGGACTGTCAACCCATTTGATTTCATTAGCTTCAGTATTGCCCTTGGTGTCGCCTCTATGATTCAATGAAATGTTAATGAATATTAATAAGGGAACGTTCCATGTTTTTTTTTGGTACATAGAATAGAAACAATCTTTCTTGTTTTACTCAAGCTGGAAAACTTTGCTGATAAAGTTAAAAACTGCTTACTCTCAGCACCACCAAGGAGATTGACGCAATTGACAAACTTCTCATGAAGATCTACCGTCCATTTTATTCTTGTTTTGATGCTTGAAGGCCTTCCTCCTGAGGAAACAGAGCTAACACGAGTTCCAGAAATCCTGGAAATGTTTGGATATTGCTGTTCTGGTTGAGGAGAGCATAAGCTAATAACCTGTGTTGATGCAAAACTAAGCTATAATGAGCAAATTTATTTTCCTTACGAAACCAATCATGAATAAAGAAATGCCCATAATTAAGAACGATATTTAATGGAAGACAAGATCACTTGCTTTGGAGTCGCGGGTTGCCTCAGCAAGCAACTTGCCATGGTCAAGTGAAAGAAGGCTTCCCTGCTGCGACCAATAACTTTTACCATTAGACTTCTCAGTGAATCTCTGACATTGGTTCCTCCAAAGATGAGGATTCACAATCGACAGCAAGGTGTCCTTTGCTTGATTAATGGTGGGTATAGCTTCGTATCCTGGCGCTTGGTGTTCATCAATGTCACGCTTTGCAGGTTGGAAATCGATGTAGCTCTTACTTTGATCAGTTGCACAGAAAGCAGAAGCCAATTGCTCCAAAGGGGTGGTGGAGGTGGTGACTGAATGTGATACAAGACGCTCTTGTTTTTGCTGTGATGCAGCTCCATCCATGCCTGCTGCCGCTTGACTCCAATAACCCGCTTTACTTAATTAAAGCTGCTGCAATCAATGTTCTGATTCTTCAAAAAAGCTTGATGGAAACAATGACCTATGTCCAGCCAGGTGTTGGTTTCTCTAACTTTCCACACTTAATTTGATTGACATTGTTTCAGTCTTAGAACATCTTTATTTTTTTTAAAATGTTTAATTAAATGATAAATATATGTATTCAATTTTTCAAATTAAAAAAAAAATTCAAAACTCTAAATTTTATGGAAAATGTGGAGAAATGCATTTGTTTTTTCTTTATTAGAGACCTTGCCTTGGGCATTTAGGTAGCACTCTTATAGCCATTGAAAGTGCCTATATGTAATTGTGATGCGGCAGAATGTCTGTTGACTTGTCCTTATCATCTTATCCGTGACAAGAAAACAAAATTCAATAAAAAATTGACAAAAGATATACTTATTTCTGGGATGTATGGGATGGACCCAAGCAAAGAGTAATAATTTCTGTTGTATTGGAGAAAAGGTCAGTCCAAATGTCATCAGACCACTATGTTACAACTTCAACATTGTCAACTTTGTCGATGCATTCCATAATTAAAGCTCCATCAAATAATAAATACCCATATTTTAGGAAAACAAAGATAACCCTGTTGTTGAAATACTTTCGTTGGGAATTAGGAGGTGTGGGATTGATATAGATATGGGGTTCATTGAATTTGGACATCTTTTAGATTCACTGAATGGGGACATGTTATTTGCTTTTCGGAAACCTATAAAAAAAAAAAAAAACCAGAAGCAAAAACATCATCGGATTTCAACTAGCTTTTGTAAATTATTTTTGTTAATGATAGGATAATGTAAACATGTGCCAATTGGGTTCAAAACTATATTCCAAAGAGTGGTTTGGACAGCGGAATGCTGATGAGTCGCTTAATTTGTTTCAATCTCAAATTCTAATCGCTTTGAGTTAATTGGACAACTGAACCGGTGACCCCCAGAAGCCAAGACAACTGATGAGAGAAGATGATCAACTGTCATGGAGTATTGCTTGGCTGTTAATTAATTGAAGGAATATTAATCAACCTTCTGATTGTTGTGCTAATTGGTGCAATATTAGTGTAAAATATAATGGTGTTTTCTGATGAATTGAAGTATATCTTAAAATTGAGAGTTTTATTAATTATTTTTTATTATTTGTCTTTTTCTTTTAATATTATATATATTTTTTGTAAAAAAAAAATATAAATAGTAAATATATCAACCAAACTAAGGCTTAGGAACATATATTTTCATAGATATTTTCCCTTTCAAACAGACTTTTTTATTTACATAAACTTCATAAATATATAGTTGTAATAAAGGATTCAATGTGTTTTCGAGTTTCAATATATGCCTTTAAAGGTATATAAAAATTAACAATATATAAGCACTTGACTCTATAATAAATATGCATGTATCTGTTTATTAAAAAGCTATATATATGAATTCAAATCCTATTTTCTTCAAACTGTACTTGTTAAAAAAAAAAAGAGGGCAAAAATTACCATAGTCATTTTATGTAAAATTAAAACTTTCAGTTGGTTTTTTTAGGCTATTATTATATCTTTTAATATATGAATATATATATATTATATTCTTTCTATATCGTCATTAATTTTAATTTAGATGAAGATTTCCTTAAAGACAAAACCACAATAAATTCAACGTCTGAATGTAAAGAATTCCTGAAAAAGAAGCTTTATCTTTGGACAGCTGGATGATTTGAATCAGCTTGCTATGCATACAATAATAGAGTTATATATATGAAAAGATGGCAATGAGTTTACCACATTATTACGATGACTCCTTTGAGAACATGGCAAATAATGACGACATTCAGATTGCACTAAACTACAAAATATAAGTGCTCCGTCCATCTACAAGTCGTGGTAAAAAGGGTCAACTGGTCATGGCAGGGTCACCAATTGCCAGAAGATGTGGATATCCACAACCATATGTGAGCTTGTTGTGACAAATATAAAAGCGACAGACCAGAAAAGAAAGAACACGTAGGCATTAATCAATTTCTGTGATTCAATCATTTATTGATCCACATATATATATATATATATATATGAAAAAATTGACAGGAATTCATTACAAAAAAGAAAGAAGAATCACTCATTAATTAAGGTTTCGATTACTAATTACTTTCTATTTTTATCTTTTGCTTTTTGTTATATGTCTGTTTTTGTTATGCATTTTTCATTTATTTTTTAATTCATTTTTGAATAAAAAATAGAAAATAAAAGTAGTAGTTAAACATAATGAAACTAATCTTTGAAAAACAAATATTAGTAATATTATTGAACAAAAGAGTTCTTATTCCATTAAGAAATTCATAATTTCATGGTAGCCTACTGACCATTGATTAACATGAGAAATCATTTAATTTGCCCAAATGTTTGCATCATGATAAATTTGATAAATCTAGTAGTCCTGAATATAATCTGTGCATGTTTTGATTAAACTAAAACAGAAATCAAGGAGCCCTGATAAAATTTCATCATTAATATTGCCATTGTCAAGTCGTGCTAACTTGGGAGTTGACTAGAATTTAAAATCTCGTTTGATTAAGATTTTAGTTTGTGTATAACAAGTAATTATACATTTTTAAACTTTTTGTTTCACATTGAGTCTTAATTCTATTCTCCTTTGAACTTCTACATTATAAAAGCCAATCTCTAAACTTTAGAACTATAACGGTGAGTTGGGAAGCCTTAGAGAGCCAACACTTTCTAATTTTATCTTTCATGCTAGATGGAGCTAGAATGAGTGTAGGTGAGTGTTCTTATGAGGCTATTAAGAAAGGATGGACAATGGGTTTTTGGGTTGGTTTGGAAAATCATTGAGAGAGATTTTATTATACTTTAATTTTTCAATAGTAGAAGAATTATTTCACTTTGTGAATATAAACAAGACGTTAAATCATGTAAATTCTTATGTTTTTCTTTGGGTTTCACTTTTCTTGTTTGGACAATTTCACAACAAACCGGTATCAAAGTTTTGGGTTAGCTAGATCAAAATTCAACAAGGATGTGAAAAGTGACTAGTTTTACGAATTTCTTAATTAAGAAGTTTGATACGAATGCTAGTTTCATATATTGGTAGTGAAAGATGAAAGATTTCCTTGTATAGCAAGACTTGACGTACCCTTTGCTAGGAAAAAAGAAAAGGCAACCAGATGGCATGAATGATATTGAATGGGTAGAATAAGAGGAAATGTATATTATCACTATTCAGCTTTACATCAAGGATAACATGTTTAACCATGTTATTGATGAGGAATTCACTCTAGAGTTGTTTGTGAAATTGGAGAAGATTTATTTAGCAAAGAGCCTTTCCAACAAGTTTCAGTGAAAGTTGTATCACTTGAAGATGGAAGAGAATGGAGATCATATGAAGCATATGAACAAGTTCAATAAGATCATTGATTAATTGAAAAAGGTTGAAGTGAGAGTGGAGGAAGAAGAGAAAGCACTATTGCTCCTCATATTGGTTCTAAACTCTTATGAGGTATTTGTGGAATCTTTGATTTGCGAGAAAGATATAGTAACATTAGAACAAGAAAAAACAGCATGAATGTCCCATGAAGCAGAAAGAAAAGTAAAGACGGGGTAGAGATTTAGCTGACTCCGGATTAGTAGAGGTTTAGAAAAGCAACCAACAAGCGATTTAAGGGTAGCAAGTGTAGATCCAGTAAAGTTCAGTATTTTTGATGCAAAAGGGTATGAAACATATTAAAAAGGATTGTTTTACAAGAAATATGGTTCAAAACCTAATTCCACAAACGTCCAAAGTGCATGTCCAACCATTAAGTCTATGGTACAAATTGAATTCAGAGAGGGACCTCGGCAAACCCTCTTATTCACCAACACAGACAAGATTTTCGTCCTTTCACAATCTTCTACACCAAGAGAACCTTTCATTACTTCCTTGTAAATGAATCTCACTTCAATAGCTACCATCCCATGTGCAGTGCTCCCATCCATTCGAGGCCTCAGCTTTTAAAAGATACAAACCATTATACAAATTCCCTCTCATTAGTACCATATCATTTTGTGGGACTTTTATCACTACATTACAAGTAGAAAATCCATCCTCTTTGTAGTCTAATAGGCTTAATGATATTAGATTGTTACACATTATTTGGACTTAGGCTATACTACCCAAAAAGCCCACAACCCCATCAAACATTTTGATTCTCACAACTCCAAGACTCATGACCTTCATAGTTGACTTATCACCAACTCAAATTTTTGACCATTAATTATTGAAGCAAATGAAAATAATCCTTGTTGGGAGCATACATGTCTGACAAAAGCAAAATCTAAATACCAATTATCATTAGAATTTGTATCTATATCATTTGAGATTGCAAGAAGAACACAAGTATCATCATCAATAATGAAAACGTACTCACCTTTATTCCTATTACTCTGATTTGTTATATGTAGTCAAGTAATTTTGAAAACTAATGATTTGGAAAGTTTTGTGCTTACAGAATTTGAATGTGTTCAAAAGTAGATGGAGTTTAAAGAGTTGCAATTGGATGCAACTTAAGGAAGAAATTAAAAAGTTTGAATTCAAGTTAAAAATGGAGATTTATTAAATTTTGAATTGACTAAAATTCAAATTCTTATTTAACTAGGATTTCAATTTGTGTATAATATTAAGTAATTATATAATATTGAATTTTTTATTTCACATTAAATCGTAATCCCATTCTACTTTAAACTTTTGTACGAGTCACTAAGTCTCTAGACTTTCGAAGTGTGCTGGTGCTTTTGAAAATCATAAAGAGAGAACACCTTGTAATCTAAAAATACCTTCCAACAAAAATAGCCCTATCCGTGGAAGGCCATATTTTAAATAATTATTTGTATTCATTTTATATTTTATTATATCCTATTTTTGTTCTGGTTTATTTTGCAATATGAACCCATAATTTAAGCTTCAAATGGCTCATTAATTAAATCCCAATAATAAACTGGGCTCTCAAGCCCAATCAGTAAATTGGTTTTCACGCTTGACAGATCAAATTTTAAGCTCCAAATTAAAGCAAGTTCAAATACAATAAATTAAAAAACTTTAAAATAAATATCAGATTAGTTATCGATTGAGATCTAATCCGAATTATTTGAAAATTCACTAAAACTCCCATACAAAATGATGTGTCTACATCTTGGATGGGAAGTAAGCAAAGGGTGTGATGTCCAAATCTTGTTCTTTTAGGAGGCTTTCGTTTGTTTTTTGTTGCTGATCAATCATCATCTTCAGCTGCCTTCCTTGTTCTTCAATTCTCAGCTGTAAATTTCGCTGAATCTGAGCAAAGGAAACAAAAAAAAAAAGTAAAAAATGTAAAACAAATTTAATTTTATGGTTCGAAAACAGAATGCCTCCAAATATTTCTTTGCATGTGATATATTTTTAATTTATCCCCTTTGGTACCCTGATTAACTTAATGGAAAAATCAATCATTGACAAATATTTATTGCTTATGAATTAAGTTGGTATAGTAAAAGGAATTAAGCTAGAAGCTCTTTCTATAGGCATCTTCGTTGAATTTTTAAGATGAATATCAAATCTAAAATCAATTGACGATAAGGTGATGTGGTCTTTACTATATTTTATACACAAAATATCTTTAACTTAACAGATGTGAGATTCTTTTATCATTTGATGCTCTCCCTTACATGTAGAGATAATAAAGTAGAGAACAACGATGAATGGGATAGCTCTTACTTTTTATAAAAGTATTATAGAGGTGATATTTCCATATAAGTTAAATTGGGTATATGTTGAACATATAAATATAACAAGTACCTCTTCACCTATTATTAATTGGTTTTGATTGGATGTCTATCTAAAATTTAATATCATATTAAGAGTAGGTGTTACACTGCTGTTGTGTGCTTCATAATTCATGCCAAGATTAATGTTCGTCATTTAGGATGGGAGTATCGAAGTGACAATAGTCTCACCCCTCTTAAATTAGAAACATGGCAAGATTAATGAAAAAGAGATAAAATCAAAGATCATGCTCGTACCTCTAATTGTTCACGAAGACGCCTCTGGACATCTAGCTGAAGTTGCAATGCCTCTGTGAGGTGCAACCCACTGCAAGACAGCTTGGAAATTTTGATTAAATTACAGTGTAAGATTAATGGAACAGCAAAACAATTTCGGTTGTGAATTATTTAAAAAATGAAAGTATATTTGGGTAGAATAAGATGGATGCATTAAGAAGTTTACGTTTTGACATCCAGTTGAGTTACATCACTTGTACTACTCCTTTCCTTTGATTTGCCTGCAACGAGAAAGGATATTGATGAGACGAGATTGCTGCATGCAATCAGGACATATAGGCGAAGCAAAATCTCTATTGCAGAGATTTGCTAATAAATGCGTGACTTAAATGGCCTTTGGAAGGGAGAGGCAAAGGCGCTAAGCATGGGTGTCATAGTTATGCTTTGCACTAATTACGAAGATGTAATTCCATCTGAATCTAGTTTTAAACACCCAAAGGGAATAAAAGACTATGCTATTCCGCAACAATTCAAACAACAAAAGCAAAATATGAGGAGTATCCCTGTTCACAATTCACTTAGAATTGAAACCTATGACTAGATTAATATTGTTAATGTCTTGCCTTGCCATTTGGGGATCAGAATAACAAAGGAATGCCAGGAACAGGGAAGCACAGAAATCATATTTGTTAATCTTAATATAGTTTCTTCTTTATTAAAAAAATATGGAAGGGGTGTATCACAATTCAAATAGGTTTTATGTATAAATAAATTTATGTTAATCCAAAATCTATCATAATAGAAATTTAAAACACACATAGTACTTAGTGCGCTAGATCTTACTCTTTTTTTCTTTGCAACTCTCCAATGAGTGAGATCATTGTAGATATGAGAGGAACATAACTTTACTTCTTATGTAGTGAATCCATATTCCCACTCATCATATGATTTAGGATTTCTTAAATAGGTCCACACTTTTAAACCCACATATAACATTGGAATCTAACCCACTTTATTGGATTAATTACAAGATCATTTTAATCAAGATCAAATTATCCTTGCCCAATTTTGATAAAATACAAAAATAAATAATATATATCCACACTTTGATTTTACTAAAAATTCTAACCAATTCTCCGTTCAGGTCTTACAGATTCAACTGGCTGGGGTTTACGGTAAACTCCCATGTTGTCAAGCAAATACGATGTATATATAAAAGCAACTATCAAGGTATACCTTCAGTAGAATCTGTCATGTTTTTTTGCAGTACGATATTTCTACAAGACAGAAATCAGAAGGAAACAAATTCATATATTAGCATTTTGCCTGAAGAATATCCCAACCAAGATAACATAATCAACAACCCAAAATCTTAAAATTGAAATTTTACCTACACATGGCTTTGCACGTGAAAGACGGTCAATCCTTCTGTATCCACCAGTTTGAGAATTGCCTTTGGAGTTGCCCCTGTTTGATCAAAGTAATAAACTAAAATGCTTGCGGAATGGTTTCTCAAGATTTGACAAAGTTAAAAGCAAACTACTACTAACTCTCAGCTCCCCCAAGGCGTTTAACACACTCCACAAACTTGTCAGAACATCCCGTGTTCACCTTATTCTGGTTTTACTAGCAAGTGCTGCCCCTGTCGAGACAGAAAAGGTCCCAGAAGTAGAATTTGAAGACTGCTTCTTGCTGAAAGATGCTTAGCTGTGCAAGCGGAGAAATATATGACTTACAGTAAGCCTATAGGGTAACAACTAGTCACAATTCGACAAAGAGTAACATTAAAATACTTATGAAAACAACAAGAAAGTTTTTTTTTTTTTTCATAAAACAAGAAGAAAGTTAATTTCAGATACAATGAATTGACCTATATCTTAAAATGATATTAAATTCTTTTTGATCGAGACTTTTTTTAATTACTTTTTTATATTTATTATAAAATACATATAATAGTATAATTATTATATATATATGGAAATCCTCTGCAACTTTATCGAAAAGATGGCAATGAGTGACAACATTAATACATTATTACAATGACTCCCTTGGGAACAAGGCAAATAATAATGACAATTAGATTGTACCAAACTATTAAAAAAATATAAAAGTGGTATTCGGTATTTTACAATATAATATGATTATAAGTAATGTAATTACAAAAAAAATAACATTACAGTATTTAGTATATAAGCAAAATAATGATTAAAATACAAAAAATATAGCATTACAACGTTTAGTTTACAAGTACTTTACTAGGAATGTAATATTAACTTTCAAAATTACTTCTATTTATTAAAATGTAAGTTTAATATATTTATATTTTTTATTTTTTATTTTTATATAATATCATTTCTTGAATATATTTTTAATGTCATATATTTTATTTTCATTTCTTATTATAATCGTATAAATTTTATTTCATTTCTTTTTTATAATTTTTTATATTATATATTTTATTTTAATTTATTTTATCTATATTATATAAATTTTAATTTTTATATTTTATTTTATTTTAATTTTTTATTCTTATATTATATATTTTATTTTAATTATAACATTATAAAATATTTAAAACAAGATAATAAATTGGAGGTAAAAATATATTTAAAAACATTACATAGTGCAATGTAATGTAATTGCATTACGATCTTACATTACAGTGGTCTGTTACAAAATAAATACTGTAATATAATTTAATTGGATACATTGCAGAATATGTGCTTCCACCTCCCTCATACCAAACGCTACGAAAGAGTCTATTAACAAGTCTTGGTATAAATGGTCATTTGGTCAAGGCAAGTAATGGCTGAGTCAAAATTTTATATTTGAAGGTGTAAAAATAAAAAATTTAATATTTGTAAGGACGAAATTATAATTTTTTTTAAAAATAGACAACAAAACTATAAAATTTAAAAAAATTATTAAATTTGAAAATTTTAAGAGGGACAAGGCCTAACTAGCCCTCCTCCCTTCGCCTCTGATGGTAGGGTCACCAATTAGTACTAGATGTGGATATCTAGAACTATATGTGCGCTTGTTATGACTAGCTTAGAAAAGAAATAACTCGTATGGATTAATCAGTTTATTGATGTATATATATGAAAAAAAATGATAAAAATTTACTACAAAAAAGAAAAAAATAAAACAATAATTTTTTTTTTACAAAGAAATAGGTTCATTGGCAGAGCCAAGGTGCGGTGACAGTTGTAACTCTTTAATTTTTAATTTTTTTTATTATTATATGTATAAAACTTAAGAGAGAGAGAGAGATATATATATATATATATATATATATATATATAGTATGAGTTACCCTTTATAATCACTCCTCATGCAAAATTTTAGATATGTCATTAAATAAGTTCTCTTATTAATTAAGGTTTCCGTTACCTACTATTTCTACCCTTTGCTTCTTGTTATATGTCATTTTGTTTTTTTTAATTTATTTTTTATTTATCTTTTGCAAAAGAATAAGAATAAAAATATCAATTAAATATAATGCAAACAAAAGAGTTTTATTCCATCAAGAAATTCACAATTTCATGTGAACCTAGTGATCAATGATTAGCATGAGAAATCATTTAATTTAAACAAAAATTTGTCTCACGATCAACATAAAAAATTTGATCAATCTAATCTTTTTGAATATAATTGTGCATATTTGGATCATATTAAAATGGTTTTTAATCAAAATAAGGAGGAAAAATTTTAAAATTTCATCATTAATTGCCATTGTCAAGTCAGATGAGTTGCTGTAATGGGTGGAGATGGATGGAAAGTTGGAAAAAGGTGGCTTGATAGCCTCCATTCCGTGTTTGAGGACAACCTTAGTAAATGGTTTTCGCAAGCAGCCATTAAAAAAGCGTTTAAGGAGTATGGAATTGTTATGGACGTGTTTATTCTAAGAAAGGTCTTACAAGACAAGGGAAGGGTAGCAAGCTTAGCGTTCATTAGGTATAGAGAAAAGCATGAATTGAAAAAGGCATTAAGATAGGGAATATATTAGTGGATGGATGAGAATCGACTCACAGTGATGAGAGTTGAACCAGTGCTTAAGGGTAGAGATAAACGTGAGAACAATGAGGTAATGGGAAGGAAAAATGTTTTTGAACCCAAGACACAAGGGATAAATGGTAGGTCATATAAAAAAGTAGCAGTAGGTGATGGAATGAAGTCATTGAAGGAGAAAAGGATGGCCAAGCTAGAGGAAGATAAGCGAAATGGGGAAAGATGGAGGAACTGAAAAGAGGAATTGAAGGTATAGCTCAAGGGAAAGAAATAGTTGGTAATAAAACAAGAAAGCCAAACCACTAGACTAGTAAAAGAATGGTTACGATCAAGACTAATGTACCCGAAGAGGACATAAGTTAGGTACAGAGCAGTACGGTAGGAAGATTAAGGGAAAGAGTTTACTATCAAATAATACAATCTAGATTGGATGAGGAAAGGATTGTTGCGCAGGTTAGGATCCTTGAAGGAATGACAATGCTTGTTACCTTCGACCTAAAAGAGGAAATGGAAATTTTATTGGAGAACTACTAGGAAGTGTTTGAGCTTTAGTTCGACTCAATACTATCGGTTAGCACTACTAGTGAAGAGAAAGGTGAGACTTTGGGTGCGTCTTTGTGAAGTTCTAATTCGTTCATGGCACATGAACACTTTCAAAGCAATTGTCGGTGTTTGGGGGAGTTCTTGGCAATTGATCAGAGTACTTAAAGGGAAATATTTAATCAAGCACACATTTTAGTTAAGGTGAGAAACAAGGCAGTTATTCCAAGCTGAGTGCACATTAAAGTTGAAAGTAAGCAATATAGCATCTGTGTTAGCGTAATGGGAAAGAAAACTTGCTGTGTTTTAGAGGCTTATACAAAGGGTAACGAAATCTTGCAAAATGATGAAAAAATACACATAGAAATAAGAAGCAACGATGGCGATGGCTGTGAAGTGAAGGTAATTATGGTGGAGAGACTGCAAGGAGTCAAGGACAAACTCGAGACAAAAGAAGGAAACACAAGGGTGTCAAGAGTGTCAAGAAAATTCAAAGAAAGGTAAGAGTCGACAGTGACAGAAAAACGTGTTTAAATGTAAAAGAGCTATAACAAAGGTTTTGATTAAAAAAAAGACAAGTTACATGAAACTAGAAATGTTGAAAAATGGGGAAAATGGAAAAAAAGAGGCATCATATACGACAACTGTAGTCTTGTCAAGAGAAAAGAAGGAGACAGAGGAAGTAATAAAAAAAAGATAGGATTGTTGATGTGATGACAGGCTTGAGGGAAGTGAAAGGAAAAACATGGGTAGGAATTTCAGAATAAAAAAAAAAGGGAGATAAGTTCGAGAGATAGTGCTTGTTGAAAGAAGTAGTGAAAAAATGAACAAGCTTGAGCCCAAAATAGAAGTTATTAAGGCTCAAAATCCAGAAGTGGGAACGTGCATGCAGGATACTAGCCTAACAAAGGGAAGTGGTGCTTTAAAGCAAATTAATAGCAAGCCAATTTTAGGAAAGGAAAATAAAAAGCAATAGAGTACGGGCTTGAGGAAGTTAAGCCCAATAATAAAAAAGAACAATGGGAACTTGGAGATATCTAGAGATGTTATGAGGCTTTTTTTTGAATAAAAGACAAACATTAGGGTAAGAGAGGTTAACTCAAGCGTTAGAAAGGAAAAACATTTAGAAAGGCTAGTCAAACAAAAAGTGGTAGGAAACGGATTGAATAGGAACAAGATGAAAGGATTGGGAAGAAAGTACAAAATAAAAGATGAGTGGAGATAGTAGATAACAACGATAGGGGAAGTGAAGCCGAGAGATGGCTAACACTAAAGCTTCCAAGAAGCAAAGGAAGGAAAGTCAAATGGTCAAGATTTTTGGTAAAATCAAGAAAAAGACAGAGTAGCAAATAGAACCGTGATGGTGGGCTAGGACATGTAGTTGTGGGATATATGGTGATGTTTGCCTTTATGTACGATGAAAAAGATTTGAGGTTGGGTAGTGTAGGGTGAGTAAGTTAGATGGTAGTTAGTATACAGAAAAAATTATCTTTTTTTATTTTTTTGGGTTGTCTTTTTGTTGGCTTATTAAGCTTTTTGTTGCTTGCTTTTTTGTGAAAAAAGGGGTACTAGATTATTATTTTTTACACCCATCTTTACTTTTGGGCGTTGTTGCAATCTGTATCATGGCGTAGTTTGTATTGATCTTTTGTGAATAGTCGCATGTTATGTTATTGGCCTTTTCATGCTTATGCTTGTTTCAATGCCATAAAGAGTCTTCAGCTAAACAAGTTAGAGCCTTCTAATGGCATGATGGCACTTGGAGCTAATAAAATCTCACTTTTCAAGAAAAAAAAAGAGTTGTAGTAATGTGGCTAGAAATTGGGATTGTATCAATTCATTCAAGTTTAGAAAAATTATTATTATGCGCTAGATAGGAGATAAAGAAGGATGGTATCAAGAAAAGGAGTGAATGGAAAATGTGGATTGATATAACTGAATTTGTACATTGATTCATAAAAATTAATTATACAATGAATAAGAGGAAAAAAAAAGCAATCATTTCAACTAAAAATTAGCCATTTTAATAATGATTTTATTCTCAATCATTCTCTTTCCTTTTGTTGAGGATCAAGCCTAAAGTCCAAGTTAGGCCATGAAAAGGACGCGAATCCCATTCTCCTTGATCTAGTCACACTCTGAAAAGTTTTAGAGGCATAATAATCATCTTAAGGGAGATCGTTGATCATTTTCTCTTACTTGTT